TTTCCAAGTCTGATCCTAGCATTTACCAGACCCTGGGTAACCAGTTTCCTTATCATCCTCTCTTGGTCTTACTTTCCTCACATACAAAATGTGGATAATACCACATTCCCTAAAAATCTTACAAAGTTGTTGTGGGGAATAATATAGCTATATTAATAATAGGCCCTCTCCCTACCCAGCCTACAGACAGAAGTGAGCCTCAGGTCCAAGTCTCCATCAACCAAGCAAACACTGCTTACCCCACCGTGGTGAATCCCTGAGACTCAGCCCCACCCAACTCACACATTGGCCTGAACCTCTTTCAGCAGCTGTTCCACACAAGTGGCCTGCACTGCATACTTTCCTAAAATCTATCAAAGGTCCACATACTCCAAATAAGCAGTAGCTGAACTTGGCATGTTCTGTACTGCTTGCTAAGTGGCCCCAAGCCTTGCACTAGTGGTAACCAGCCTCAGATCACCGCTTAGCATCTCTGAGGCACCTTCAAGCTTAGCACAGGAAGCTGCCAACTACAGATCACTTTGTAGCTCCTACCAGGTGCCCCTGGGCTGGGCACAGACAGCAGCTGATCTTGGCCTGCACCAGAGCCCCTTCCAAGAGGCCCTAGAACCGATGCACTCAGTAACCAGCTTTGGATCACTCCGGAGCACCACCTGATTAGCTCTACAAACAAAAAGCCCAAAGGGTGGACTTGGCAGGCAGAAGAGTTCTACTAAAACAAATCCCATTCTATGAAATCAGCCACTGTACAATAGCTCATCAGCTGTAGTCATGGACAGTCAGCCTGAGGGTCAATCACACTCACTGATGTGCTAAAAGCAATCAAAGCTCAGCTATAACAGGAGGGTCCACACCAGGAATACCTCTGGAGCACCTGGCTCAGGTGACGAGGGAGACTGCACCATTGGCCCCCACAGGACCCCTACTACATAAGGCCAACCCGCTAAGGCTGGGAGATTTATCAGATCAACATAATATATAGAAACAACACAGGGAGGCAGCCAAATGAAAAGACAAAGAAATATGTCCCAAATGAAAGAAGAGAACAAAACGCCAGAAAAAGAACTAAACAAAATAGAAATAAGCAATCGACCAGATATAGAGTTCAAAATGCTGGTTATAAGAATGCTCAATGAACTTAGGAGAAGAGTAGATAAACTCAGTGAGAATTTACACAAAGAAACCATAGAAAACAACCAGTCAGAAATGAAGAATACAATAATTGCAATGAAGAATACATTAGAGAAAATAAACAGTAGATTAGATGAAGTAGGGGAGAGATTCAGTGATTTGGAAGAGAAGATAGCAGAAAACACCCAATCAGAACAGCAAAAAGAAAAGAAGAATTAAAAAATAAGGAGAGTTTAAGGGATTTCTGGGACAACATCAACTGTAACAACATTTGAATCATAAGGGTACCAGAAGGAAAAGAGAGAGAACAAGGGATTGCAAATCTATTTAAAGAAGTAAGGACTGAAGAAATGGAAAGATATTTCATGTTCTTGGATTGGAAGAATCAACATAGTTAAAATGACCATATTACTGAAAGCATTATACAGATTTAATGCAATCCTCATCAAAATCTCATTGGCATTTCAAAAAAAATAGAACAAAGAATCATCAGATTTGTATGAAAGCACAAAAGACCCTAAATTGTAAAAACCATCCTGAGAAAAAAGAACAAGGCTGGAGGCATCACTCTGGCCAACTTCAAATTATACTACAATGCAACAGTAATCAAAACAGCCTGATGATATTGGCAGGAAAACAGACACATGGGCCAGTGGAACAGAATCAAGAGTCCAGAAGTAATTCGACAAAAAAGCCAAAAACATACAGTGTACAAAGGAAAGCCTCTTTAATAAATGGTGCTGGGAAAACTGGAAAGCCATCTGCAAAAGAATGAAACTAGACTGCTGTCTATCACCACACACCAAAACTAACTCAAAATGGATTAAGAATCTGAATGTAAGACCTGAAACTATAAAATGCATGGAAGAAAACATAGGAACTAAACTCAAAGACCTTGGGCTTAAAGAGGATTTTATGAATTTGACCTCAAAAGCAAGGGAAGTAAAAGCTAAAATAAATGAATGGGACTACATCAAACTAAAAAG